GAGACAATGCAGACTCTGGAGGGTTGGGAGCCATGTCAGAAGGGTGCTTTGGCCAGGTGGTGGTAAAAGTGGGTGAATATCTGAGTTCTAGGGCAGCCTGGTATAGAGTACAGCCAGGACTACACAGAAAAATCCTGTCTCAAAAAACCAAACCAAACACATACTCCAGAATTTTAGTATTCTGAGGTTGTCAGAGGTGGACAGGGCTTTACAATGCAATGTGTTCTTCCAACCCACTGCACAAACGGTAAAACTTCAGTGAGGAAAGGGAAGGGGTCACGAAGCCGGCTGGCTGGCTGGTCTGGAATTAGGAAACTGGATGCTAGCCATCCAAAGTGCATATGAACTGCCCTCTTCCCCCGTCCTTCCCTGCCTGGATCCCGAGGGAAGAGCCTAGGTTCTGGAGAATGGCTGGACAAGAGTTCTCTTTGTATTGTGAGGCCTCTCTGAAGAGCCTGGCTCTCCTGATTAACTCTGCAAGTATGGAGCCCTGGTGGGCAGGAAGAAGGCTGTCCTGATATACTAAGGCTTGGTCCACATATGGGGTAACTATGGAGCTGCCACGTCAGTACTTAGATGTCAGTGGGTATGAAGGGAGTAGTGTAGATGCTGTAAACTCCAGGGAAGTCAGGAGAGGGCTTGAAAGCAAAGTTATAAGGAGGCCTAGAGCATAATGCCACACCAGTGCCACCTCTACCTGAGCCCCATGCTCAGGTTGAACTCTGTGTCATCGTTTTCTGCCCTTGATGCTCATGTAGAATATTTCTGACAGCTGATTGAGGCAGCAGTGAACTATAGGAGTTAATTGTGCAGACTGGAGCACAACAGCTCAGGTTCACATCTTTGTCCCTCTCCTTGCTATGTGACTTTGAGTAAATTACATAATCCATGTATGCCTCGATTTTCCTGTCTTAAAAAAGACAACACTGAGCGGGGCGGTGGTGGCACATGCCTTTGGTCCCAGCGCTCAGGAGGCAGAGGCAGGTGTATCTTCATGAGTTCAAGGCCAGCCTGGTCTACAGAGCGAGTTCCAGGACAAAAGGAGCTACACAGAGAGACCCTATCTCAACAAAACAAAAAGACGACACTAATAATGCCTCCTCCGTTAAGTTTTTATGGTCAGTGATAGTTAAAGGCAAATTCTCATAATTATATATCTTGTCCACTCCATCAGACAAGATGGCCCCTAGGGCAAGCTTATCAAATTAGGTGTTCCCAGAGAACAGAATTTTTTTGTTTTGTTTTGTTTTTATTTTTGAGACAGGGTCTCACTATATTGCCCTGGCATTCACTCAAACTCACAGAGAATCTCCTGGCTCTGCCTCCTGCATGCCGGGACCAAAGGCGTGCGCCACTATTGCCAGTCAGAATTCTGTCTTTATTGGAGTTGAGATCCACCCCCAATCCCATCTGTTCTTTAAGAAGTGTATTCTGGGTCGGCAGAGAAGTCTGGGATTGTCCCAGTAAGGCAGCTAATTAGGCCTCTGATCGACAAGCCAGTGAGAGAACGGGGTGGGAGGGGCTTAAAGGTGGAGGAGGAGTCTCCTCACCTGTGTGCCTGGTGGAGTTCGTTCCCAGCTCTCAGGAAGCAGGGACTGATAAGGCTATGCAAGCTCTGTGTTCAGAGAGGCAGCAGGAAGAGAGGCTTGAGTTTTGCTTCCCAGAGGCTGCAGGCTCATCACGGAGCATCCAGTGCCAGCAGGCAGCAGTCAGGTGGACGGACTAGCAATAAGGGCCTGAGCCTAACTCTGCCTGCATTTCAGGCTCCTCTTTTTCTTCTCGAGGGTGGTGATGGTCAGATGGTCGGAGTCTTACTGTGTAGCCCGGGCTGGCCTATCCTAGGTGCTGGGAATAACCAGCATGAGCAATCCTACCTGGCTGAACCCTGAACCTCATGCATACTGGGACACTCCCAATCACTAAACTACAGGTTTTCTAACCATTCTCTGTGGCTGAGCCCAAGTATTTTGCCCTCCCCCTTGTCTCTGTCTCTCTCTCTCTCTCTCTTCCTTCCTAACTCTCTCTCTCTTCATTTCTTCAGTGATGAAAATTACCCATTTAAATGTTAAGTGGGGACCTGGAAAGAATGGCTCAGCTTCCAGGGAACTACAGTTCAGGTCCCAGAACCAATTCTCAGGTGGCTTACGACACCTACAACTCCAGCTCTAAGATATCTGTCACCTCTGGCCTCTGCCTTTGTGGGTATCTGCACACACACACACACACACCACAATTAAAAATAAAAAGTAGCTGGACTTGGGGGCACATGCCTCCAATGCTAGCTGGCACTCAGGTTCTATGAGTTTGAAGCTAGCCTGGTCAATGCAGTAACTTTCAAGCCAGCAAAGGCTACATAATGAGACTCCCGTCTCAAAATAAATAGGTAAATACCAATGAATCTTTTTCTAGTTTTGGTTTTTTAGAGACAGGGTTTCTTTGTGTAGCCGTGGCTGTTCTGGAACTCATTGTGTAGACCAGGCTGGCCTGGAACTCACAGAGATCCACTTGCCTATGCCTCCTGAGGGCTGGGAGGCATGTGCCACCACCTTCCTTCTTTCCTTTCTGGCCTTTCTAGAAAGACATTAAGTGGCAAATCCAAGATCACATAATGTTAACTGCTACATCTTACACTGAGGTGCCCTGGCTCCTCCCCTATTCCCTGAGCAAATTCCACTGGCTGAGGGGGCACACTAAACCCTGAAAGTCTCCAGTTCAGTGGGGGAAGACTCAAGTCCTGCCATCAGGAGAGATTCTGGAATGGTTTCTAGCAGGGGAGGTCTAAGAAGGACAATATTCAAAATGTGTGGTATCTGTTTCATTCCAGGCACTTCCCACAGGGGCTTGTGTCTTATTGCAGAGTCCCCTTTGCTAGACAAGCTCTGAGCTTTCAGGGACCAAGTGGCAATGCTGTACTGATAATGTAGTCTGACCATGCTGATACTGGCTTTATTTTATTCTTAAACACAGAAGACTTGGTCTCAGGTCACCTCTTCAGTGAACATTTCTCATGCCCCAGGACATGAGAGCTTGAGTCTCTAGGCCCCCTTTTGTCCCATATAAATATCTCCCAGGGCACCTGTACATGTCTTAGAAAACTTATTTTCACTACGCACTTATCTTCTCTTTCCTTGAGGTAGAGTGGTTTTGACCACCTCTTTATATTCTCAGGATGAAGTCCTGAAGCAACAGGTAATTAGTGGACATATCAGGTGCTTGGTCTCTGAGTCTAGTCAGTGATGGTGAGGACACCAGAGGCCGGGCTGGGGGGGGGGCACAGGAGGTGCTGGGGTCTAGCAGTGGAGGCATCTGTCTCATCTAGAAACCTGGACAGAAAGGCTGCCTTCACCAGCACTCATACTGCATCCCAGGCTGGCGTCATCCCAGGGTTTCCACCCATCTGGGGTCTGCTGCCTGGTGGCACTGGGTTCAAAACTGCCCACAGGAGCTCCAAGAGGTGGGATAGGGGATGATAATCAGTACATCCATTAAGTAGAAAGCCGACTGAATTTAAGGAAGAGAATGGGGGCAGTGACTGGCATTTGAATCAGAAAAACGCTGGCTTCCTCCCAGGAACTTGAAGAACCTGTTCTGTTTACCTTTCTCCAAAGTAGATGGGACGGGAGGTACCCAACTTTATCCTTGAGATGGGACTGAAAGTACTCCTCTCTGGCCCTAACACGTCAGCTCTCCTGCAGTCTTAAGGGCTGCCAGTAGGTGCCGTCAGTTCGCAACTTTTTGGTCTATCCTCTGGGTCCGGCTCTTGGCGCCTTTCTTCCTCCAACCGCGCCAACATTCTGCTTTTGCTGGAAGTGGGAGGTGGCTTAATCCCCGGGTTGAAAGACCCCCTGCCCAGGACAAAGAACTGGTAGAGATCTAGGAGCTGCACTTTAGCTTGATTTCTCCGTGTATGTTTAGGTCAGACCCTCCAGACCCCATCTACCCCCAAAATCCATCGGGCCTCCGACTGTGCCCAGACAGACAGAAATTCTTTGGTTGGGGACATGAAGAGAGGCGTAGGGAGAAATGAGAAGGAAGGTAGGAGGTGGGATTCTAGAGCTACTCCCACTTCCAACAGGACTGCTGCGAGACTAAGGGATAAATACGCTTATCAATAGGTTGTCACCCAGGGCGAAGTGGCGTCGGGAAAATTAAGAAGAGGCTTTCTTTTCTGGAAATCTTTGACTGCCACCTACTGGAAAACGGTCACAATAACTATACAAATACACAATGAGTACAAAGAGTGGAGCCCCCTGGAGTTGTTCAACGCACATCTTGTACATGGCGAATGTCAGTCTCCCAGGCCAGTCTCTTTCCAGAATCTAGGCGAGACAGTAGAAGGGGGAACATCTAAGAAGGAGGAAGAGGCCCGGCACTTTGTCTTGGAGTTCTGGAAGCAGAGTGCAGCAAGGCTCAAATGGAACCTGGGGCGAGGGATCAAGCTGCGGGCGTTCAGGGGGGCAAGTATGAAGACTGCCTACCAGTGCCTCAAGCCCGGGGCCCTCTTAAACTCCTTGTAGAATGCACTTCACACAGTGCGGTCTCCAGAGCTCGAGACTGGACGTACCAGGAGTGGGGTAGGGTGCCGAGGGGACTGAACGCGAGGACCTTGAGTCCTCTAAGAAGTCAGGTTCTCAGTGGCAGAACGAGGGTCGCCTAGGTGTCTGGGGCAGAATTCTTCGAGGTCGAGGGAAGGGGTCCAAGCAGCATCCCCTTCCCTGCCCCTCGTCCTGCCCCCCTCCACTCCCCGCCCCGAGGGCTCTGGTTCAGAGGTTCAGAGGCACTCTGCAAGTCGGCCACCGCTTCCAAACTGCGCCCCCCCCCCCCCCCCCACGGAGCAAAGGACTTTGAGATATTGTAGCGGTGGCTGCGACTCAGGCTAGCGTCCCCTCCCCCTAACGGCCTCCTCTCCCACTCCAATTCCCCCTCGCCCGCCCCTGCTCTCCCACCTCGGGGGACGGCGCTGGGGGTGTGGCCAGGGGACCGGTATAAAGTCCCTGGAGCCGGTCCCGGGCAGCCGCTCAGCCCCCTGCCCCCGCCGCCTGCTGGGCTGGGCCGAGGATGCAGCGCAGCGCCTCGGTGGCCAGGCTCGCTCCGCTCCAGCGTGCTTGCTAACTTCCCCAGCTCCTTCCCTGCCTGCCGGGACCGCCCCGTGTCCCCGCGCCCTCCGGGTCTGGTCCTCGAAGCGCACTGGGCGCTGCCTCCGGGTCCCTTGTAGCCCTCTCGCGAGCTCGCGCTCCCCTTCTGTGCCCCATCTTCGTTCTCACCATGCTGCCCTTCGGCCTCGTGGCCGTCCTGCTGCTGGCCGCAGGGCCTCGGCCGAGCCTGGGCGACGAAGCTATCCACTGCCCCCCCTGCTCCGAGGAGAAGCTGGCGCGCTGCCGCCCCCCTGTGGGTTGCGAGGAGCTGGTGCGGGAGCCTGGCTGCGGTTGTTGCGCCACTTGTGCCCTGGGCTTGGGGATGCCCTGCGGGGTGTACACCCCACGCTGTGGCTCTGGCATGCGCTGCTACCCTCCCCGGGGAGTGGAAAAGCCTCTACGCACGCTGATGCACGGGCAGGGCGTGTGCACGGAGCTGTCGGAGATCGAGGCCATCCAGGAAAGCCTGCAGTCCTCTGGTAAGACATACCTACCTTTCCTTTGCCACCTTTCCCAATAGCCCTCCTCCTTGCAACTTGGCTCCCATTCGGGTTGTCCTGGAAGGTCCAGAAAAGCCCTCAGGGAGCTGAAGACGAAGGGAGGTACGTGGCAGAGCCTGACAGTCACAGCCAAGATAACTGGCACTGAATCCCAGTGCCAGTTGCCACTGGTCAAGGGGAAGCTGGTCCCATCCCTTCATCTCAAACCTCCCAGGTGTTTCTTTGGGAAGAGGGGCCTCGGCCTCAGTGGTAAGAGGCGACAGTGGTAAGTTAAATGACCTGATTCAGCTGTAAAAGAAAGCCAGAAAACTGATAAGGGTGGTGTGTGTGTGTGTGTGTGTGTTGGGACAGTCCCTTTCTGTTCCTGATTCAGGGCTTGATCCAAACCCAGTTTCAGATGAAACTCAAAGGTGTGAGGAACCAGGGCCTGGACGTTTGAGTCATCATCACCGCATGGTGAAGTGGGAAATACAAATCAGAAGGATTTCAATAGTCATGAACGAGATCTGTGCTTCCCCGAAGAGCCAAAAAGCAGTGGAAGGCAGGGCTTTCTCTGCCAGGCTGGTACATCCAGGTTTCTTGTTCCTTCCTCCTGGCAGGTGCCATCTGAGGGGCCCTGGAGGGAAGTTCCGGCTGTCAGCCCAGGGTTTCAGAAACCTTGGGTGTATGGGACTGAGAGGAGAGGAGGGACAGATGGACAAGTAGATAGATTTTCAGAATGTCCCTTGCTCTGATCTTGTATTTTCTTTTTCAGTTTCTTAGAGTCTTGCTCTTGTCCTTTTGTTATTTCCCGCTGTGTCTCTCAGCTTCTAGTTTGACCAGTCCGAGTTCTCTCTTTTTTTTTTTTTTCTCGCTCTCCCGAGCTTTATTAGTTCCCTTCCCTTGTTCTGCCTTAGTTTGTTTTTCTGCTGTCCTCTCACTTTAATCTCAGACTCTGTTGCTCTTCTGATGATTCCTTCTGCGTATCTGCTGCTTTTTGGGAGCTCTGCCTCTCCGTATCCCCGACTCTGGTTATTGTCCCTTCTTGGACAGCCTTACTCTCTCTGAGCCCCAGTCTGTGCTTCTCTCTTTTCGTGGTGCTTGACCCTTCCATTGTTGCAGTCCGGATGCTGGGACTTCAGGCCCGAGCTTCCTGCTCTGGGTCCCAGACCCATCCACTTCCTCAATCCTCAGCAGTTTATTAGTGTGAGGAAAGCAGGATGCAGGGAAAACAGGAAGGAGGTGGACCCCAGGGGGTGCCTCTCTGCCCTTCCTGCCCCTGCCTGGGCAAGGAGAGATGGCTCAGCAGAAATATTCTGGGAGAAATGCCAGACTGGCACCCAGCATTGCTGAGTGGGGAGGAGGGTCCTGGGAGAAGAGCGATTCCTTGATCTTGGGGCAGTGGAACCAGGAGAAAAGGCTGCATTTTTAGGATGCTCACGTTGAGTCTTTGGTCTCTGTCAGCTAGTGGGCATCTAGCAGCAGGTGAGGATGGCTGGTAGTCTCCTCTCTTCCCAACTTGAGCACGAGCCAGAAGAGGTCTGCAAGAGCCTGCTCTTTGGTTGAATAGAAGCATCCCTACATTGTGGAGGAAAAATCCAACCCCCGGTGGGTTAGGAGGACCTGGCCCAGTTTCTGATTGTTCTGTGGGTGTGAGGCAAATCAATTTCTAGAGGAGTCCAGGAATGGAGTGCCTGCAGGTATCTTTTGGAATTCAGAGATCAAGTCACTAATTCTCCTCCCGCTTCCTGACCTTGTCTTCTACCCACACCATGGACCAGAAACCAGAAGGACCCTGGAGATAGACTTTTTTTTTCCAAGACAAAGTTTCTCTCTATAGCTCTGTCCTAAAACTCTCTCTCTGTGTCAACCAGGCTGGCATCAAACTCACAGAGATCCACCTGCATCTACCTCCTCAGTGCTGGGATTAAAGGCATGCACACCTGGCTAATATTAGACACTCGATTGGCAAGCTATGGCCAGTGCTTTCTAGTCATCACAGGACTTCCTTGTCATGGCCTGGCACCTTTGCATCATGGGAGGAGTACCCACAGAACTGTACACCAGCTTTGCAGGGTGTCTGATGAAATACTGATCAAGGCTCAGCCCCTGTCTCACACCTTACACTATCAGTAGGCCATTGCCCCTTTTTGGGACCCATGCCCTGGAAATACTTTGGTGAAGGGCGTTAGTCTATTCTTTCTGCTCTTTGCTCTTGGGGCTGAGCTTCAGTTCATCATTTAAGTAAGTGGTTCTTTGACACATGCTCTCTTTATTTTTCTAGGGGCAGGTTGTCCCTTCCATTTCTAGCCTGCCCTGCTCTCCTTTCTGACAGATTGGAGATTGGCACTACCAAGGCCACCAGAGTAGGGAACAGGTGCATGTGTCATAAGTCTACAATTTCACATTGTGGTACTGACCCTCGACTCTTGAAATCTAAATGTTCAGTGGGGAGGTCAAACTTGGGACAGGGAGTTCCTAAACCAGGCTCTAGGTCCCTCTGGGACAGGGCTAGGGAACAGGCAGCCTGGGTTAATTTTTAGTCAACACAGCAAATATTGTCCCTACTTCGGTACTGGGAATCTAGTCATGTCATGGAAACTGGGCCTTGCCAGTTTCTGTGCTTTAGGGGAGAGGGGAGGAAGAACATGGCTGCCTAGTGTTTCCTTTAATACCGATGAAGCTTAAATTATTGATGCTTCAAGTGGCCAAAGACAAATCTCCCTTCCTCATCTCTACCTCAGTTTCCTCCTAGCTGGAATGCCTCACTGTTTTGAAGTTTTTGGCACAGAGTATAAGGTCAATAGATTGGAGTGATGAAGCTAAGGGAGGGTGGAGATGAAGAAGCTAAGGGAATTGGCAGACCATAGGGTAAGGGAGAGTCACGGGACAGAGAGGGGTTGGTAGGTTTTGCAGGGTCTCTTGTCTCCTTAGAGGCCAGCATTGGGGAGCAACAGTTAAGGGGCTTCTCCCTACCAAAATCTCAGAGAAACAACCTGGTGTCTGTCATGGGTGGTCTTGGATTCTCCAGCCAAGGGTTTGGGGATGAAGGAAGAGGAAGGCATTTTTGGTGGGCAGGTGGGTGACTCTCCAGAACATGGCTGAAATGTCTGAGTCTGGGTAGCAGGATCCACTCAGTTCTTAGCCTTGGGTGTCTTGGAGGGGCCAGGGGCTGGTCCTGAGGAGAAATCATGGGTGAAACCAGGCAGTGGGAACTTTTGCCTCTACTGGGGCCAGGGGTGTATACTGCTTCTCCCTGGGGGCTGGCTCCTTGCCCTGCTCTGCTGTGGCCAAAAGAGCAAGACTTCTGTCATGGCCCAATGGCAGTCTGCCCAGCTCCATAGGAGCTAAAGGGGAAGACCTGCTCCACTTTCTAGACAAGCTTCTTGGAGATCTAACAAGAGGAGGGGTCTGCCTCCAGCTCCTGCTCTGGAGCATCGGGACTTCCGTAGAGGACATTAGAAGCTGATAGCACTAGGAAGTTAATGTTTTTGAGAGGCTCAACACTACACCCCACCCCCCAGCTCAGTATCTAGAGGTGGATTCTCCAGGTAAGCCTGGATGGACAAGGAAAAGTTACAGATTAAATGGAGAGTCAACAAAGCATGACCAGAGAGACTGGGATGTTGTCCTGACTTGGTCTGTGTTTTTGACCAGGGTAGGGTCAGAGTACTTGAGTGGGTGTAGATGTGCGCACCTGGACGAACATGTGTTTGGACATGTAAACATCCGTGGTTCTGTATCCGTGGGGGGATGTGGACTTAATCTGTGTTGTGCCCCAAGACCAATTAGAAACTATTGCCCTAAAGTGGTGGGTTTTACTCTAAGTGTAGATTCGAACCAGGGGTCCCTGGGATAGGCCACAGAGACAACCACATTCAGTGTCCTGCCAGCTGTGCACCCTTAAGGCCCTCTGTGATAGGGGGCCATTCAACTTTGACATCAGCATAAGCTATGCTTCTAGGCATATGTGGCTGTAGGTTTCAACAAGCTATTCAGTTGTTAATGGTGAACATCTCAAATACCCTCGGAAACCCCCAAGGACCCCTCATTGCTGGCTTCTACTCCCAGACACACCACATTGGGAAGCAGAATTGTCATCAGGTCTCTTGGCCTTTTTCTGACTCTTGGGGACTCATCATTCAAAGCTCTAGGACTGGAAAGTGGGCATACTCTCCATCTCCTGAGGCAACTGTAAAGTAATATGAGGCCTGGAGCCAGGTTATAGTGGCACCTGCCTATAATCCAATACTTGGGCAGTAAAGCTAGGAGGAGGGGGAATTCAAGGCCAGCCTCAGCTACATAGCAAGTTTGAGGCCTGTCTGGTCTACATGAGATCCTGTCTCTAAACAAAAGAAAAAGAAGAGAAAAGAGATAGGGCTGGGGGGTGGCAATAAGACATTCACAGCATACAGAAAGACATCCCACAGCATTGTAACTTAGCTTGCCTGTCCCCCTCTACAACACACACACACACACACACACACACACACACACACACACACGCCTCAAATTCTTCTGTATTCTGAACTCTGAGCCTAAAAACATTTTGTGTTTAGCAAAAAGAAGCAGAGACTGTGCAAAGCCACTCTGACTGTGTAAAGACAGGGAATCAGGGAGAATAGACAGGCTGGGGTTGTGCCCTGTGAGTCCCAGGGATACCCTCCATCCTCTTCAGCTGACTCCCTCATCCTTTTGCCACATAGGCAGAAGGATGGCTCTATCTGTCTGCTCCCCCCACTTCTGTCCTTTAAGTCCACACTAGCACTTCCCTCAAGACAAAACTCTCCTACCCCTGGGGAGTCACTTTTATTTTGGTATGGAATCTTAACTGTTAGTTTTTTGGTTTTTGTTTTGTTTTGTTTTTGATGGTATAGATCCCTCCTTGCCTGGTGTCCCTTCATCAATATGCTTCCCTTCCCTTGTCCCCCAAACCAGAAGACTAAAACAAAGACCAACTCCCCAGCTTTGGCTAGGCAGAAAAATACCATTTGACCCAGAGGCAGCTCTGGGCCTGTTGCCATGTATGGAGGAACCTGCTAACTCTCGGGAAAAAAAAAAAGTCCTGACGCAAACCAGATGTAACCTCCTGTCGGCCTGCCAACATCTGGAATGCTGGCAGGAGCTCTGCACTTGGGCCTGCATTGAGCTGCCAAGTCTGAGCATTTCAGAGGTGGCTCTGATGTGCTGAGAAGTCTTTCCAACCTCCTTCCCCTGCTCAGCCTTGCATTCCGGCCCTGGCTGCCAGGAGGAAGCAGCCTGGTCACAATGCAGGGCCTTCTGGATGGGGCAGTTCACATAGAGCCTTCAGGAGGGACTGTGGACACAGGTCCAGCCTCATGATTCGCATCTCCAGGCAGCCCTTTGCCTGTTTCTGGGTGACTCTCATGGGCACTGAATGGGTCTCAAGTTTAAAGATGTGGAACCTAATGGTAGAGGTTGGAGAAATGTGTGTGACTGTTTTCTTTGTTCTGGGGCACAGTCTCTCTCTCTCTCTCTTTCTCCCCCTCTCCCCCCATTATGCATGCACGCGCGTGCGCGCGCGCACACACACACACACACACACACACACACTAACAGACCCAGACAGTGGGAAAACCTTTGGGGCCAGACTCCCCGCTCATGGAAAATATGATTTTTGGCCCTGGGGATCCCTGGCAGGCTCAGCCAGATGCTGAAAGAGCAGGAAAGGAGACAGGAAGAGTGAGCAGATGGAGAGGGGGATGGTGGGAGGAGCTGAACAGAGTGGGTAGATGATCCAGTAGTCCCCCCTCCCTCTGCCTGCCTCAGACCTCCCTGCAGGGCCCAAGGGATGTCCTCTGCCATCTGGGTGGCTGCAGCTGGTGACTTATCTGAATCCTGAACTGGGTGGGGTGAGGAGCAAATCAAGGACTTCAAGAGGAATATTCTTCCAAAGACATCCAGAGGAGTGGGGTGGAGATGGGGGCTGCTCATATTTCCATCCAACAGACTCGCTGGCGCTGTGTATCTCCCAGTGGGGGTGGAAGCAGGTGGGAGGTTGGAGGAGTGTAAACCTCTGTTCTTTCTGATGCTGACCTCTGCCTTTCAGACAAAGATGAGAGCGACCATCCCAACAACAGCTTCAACCCCTGCAGTGCTCATGATCATAGGTGCCTGCAGAAGCACATGGCCAAAATGCGAGATCGGAGCAAGATGAAGGTCGTGGGGACACCTCGGGAGGAACCCCGTCCTGTGGTGAGCACCTCTGACCTCTGATGTGTGTGCTTGTAGAAATTCCATTAGTAGATCCGGGCTGTGTCTGCCCAGTAAGCACCAAAGCCTCCTGTGTGTGCAAGGTGTCTCTGATGAGAGCCCAGGGAGAACCCTTACTTTCTTTGTGATTCCTTTTCTAAACATGGCATAGCTGAGGTGATTGGTGAAAGCGGGCCTGGTCCAGGCTCCCTAGTGTCTCTTGATCCTTTCTTCTTCTTTTTTCTTCTGGTTTTCCGAGACAGTTTCTCTGTGTTACTCTGGCTGTCCTGGCACTCACTGTGTAGACCAGGTTGGCCTTGAACCTGGAGATCTGCCTGCCTCTGCCTCCGAGTACTGAGATTAAAGGCATGCGCCACTACCGCCAGCCTAGCTCTTGGTCCCTTTTCTTGGATTCTTTGTCCAAGTCTTAGAAACAACAGGGTTGAAAATAAACTGGCCACGGGAAGAGGATTTGGAATCCTACTCTAGGGTCTGGCTCATTGTTCCGGTGGACTCAAGCCTGAGTGTCACTTTGTTTATTCCTTTTACTTAGGCCTATACGTTCTGTAAGGGTTCTTTCCTTACCACTCCCTTTTAAAGCCCCACCCCACCTCCCACCGATTATTTCTTGTGAGACAGTGTCTCACTTTGTAGCCCAGGCTGGCCTAGAACTTCTATGTGTACCAGGCTAGTCTTGAATTTGCAATAATCCTCCTGCCTCTGCTTCCAGGGTACTGAGATTGCATGCGTGGGCCACCACGGTTGCTTTGCTAGGCATGCTTTAGTGTCCACCATTGGTAGCTGAGTCTGAGACTCTGATTTCACTTCCTGTCCCCCTGCTTAGTACCCAGGCAGTAGCCTAGCAATTAGCCCCTTTACGCTCACAACCCCAGTTTGGTTTTCCCGCTTTTCTTTTCTGCTAAGCAGTTTTGTTCTTCATTCCCCAGCCCCAGGGTTCCTGCCAGAGCGAGTTGCACCGGGCCCTGGAGCGGCTGGCTGCCTCTCAGAGCCGTACCCACGAAGACCTCTTCATCATTCCCATTCCCAACTGTGACCGCAATGGCAACTTCCACCCCAAACAGGTGGGTCTCCCTTCCTGCTCTGAGGTCCTGGCCTCATCTTGAGGAACTCCTGGCTCTCTGCAGGGGGCTCACAACGGGAGATCTTAGGGAAGCTCCCCAAATCCAACCCAACTATTTGGGTCTCCCTGAGCCCTACTATAGCCTAAGACCTTCAACATATTGTCCACCTCGTTCATTTGAAGAGGAGAGACACACTCAGAAAGGAGGAGACAGACCCTGGCCAGCCAGCCCACAGCATGGACCGAGTTCACAGCAGAACTCGCCTCCCTTCCAGGGCTGTTTGCAGCTCCTCAGAATTCCCCATCTGTGATGTAAACCCTGTTCCCAGAACTCCTCCTCCTTCCCTCCAAGTAGTGCTCCTTGTCTCTAATGTCTGAAGCTTCATCCGGGCTTAGGCATAGATCCCAAGTTTATGAGAAGTCATGGAGGAAAGCACTCACACTTGTGAAGCTGAGCTCAGATTCCCGAGTGCAGTAAACATGGAGGTAGAGCCAGGTCTGGTGGCCGAAGTGGGAGCCGAAGAAAGAGGTCAGGAGAGAAGGCAGAAGGTGGTAGCGTCACATTCACTCACTCCTTCAGAAGGCTGGCATGCTAGCACGCATGTACAGCACAAGCAGCCCGCTCCATCACATCCCTGGTGCATCAGGAGGGTGGCATATCTGGGTAGGAAACCGGAATGCCTGGTGCTGAGTGTGGTCTAGGGAGCCTTGGCTTGGTTTTCCTCCAGGCTGTGTGAATATAGGTGCACATGTTACCCTCCCACTAAGGAAGAACCCCCAGTACGGGCTGCTACTCAACCAGGAGAGACCTCACTAGGAGGATAACACTACTGTCCTGGGTCTGTACCCAACACGGCGTTGTGTGTAACGAGTGACAGGCCAGAGAAGTTTCCTCAGAGCCAGTGCCTGGCCTTTCTTCAGCCTTCATCCCAACACAAATTCCTGTCCCAATTCTTAGTAGCACCCCCCCCTTCATTAAACAAAGAAAAACATTTGACTTTTTAAAAACCAGTTTTGAAAAAAAAAGAAAAAAAAAAACAGTTTTGGGGGTTTGTGGAAAAACAAGAAGAAAGTATAGGATTATCTTTTTCTCTTTGAGACAGGGTTTCTCTGTATAATAGCCTGGCTGTCCTGGAAGACCAGGCTGGCCTCGAACTTACAGAGATCAGCCTGCCTCTGCCTCCAGAGTGCTGGGATTAAAGAGGTGCCCCGCCACCGTCCAGTTACAGAATTATTTCACGCTATGCCTTCCTCATACCTGATTCTATCACTCATACCGAATAGTAGTGGGGTGTGTTTGATGGAATTGATAAAGTATTAACTGAAGTCCAACATACCAGAGTTACACTGGGACTTGTTTTTCATGTTATACAATGCCACACATACTTTCACATCTAAGTTTTATTGCGACAAGAAGCTGTGACCTTTTATCTCCATACCAATTCCGAATCTTGAGCCAATCTTCATTCCAACTTTGAGTTTGGCTTTGAAATATACTTGTATGTCTCCATCCCCACCCCGGTCTAATTCTGACCTGAAATTTAGCCTGACCTCAGATCTTCTGACCTTGACTTACTCTGATGTAAGTTTCTTGCAACAGTCCTCCTGCCTCTGCTTCCTAAGTGCTGGGGACACAGGCACTGTACCACCACATCCAGCCCATCTGCTTCTGACTTGGGCTCCCCACTTTACCCGACTTGGGTTTTAGCGTTTTAACCATAATCTCTAACTCAGCTGTGATCCTTCACCTCAGCTACTACCTTCACCCTGATTTGGATCCCGTTCCCAGCTATAATCCCACGCTTCAAGTCCCAGCCCAGTCACGACACACCTGAAACATCTTCAATGAACCCAGCCTTTACAATTCATCAATACCTTTAAGTCTAAGGGTCTTCTTAGGTCCCTGGCTAGAAGCTGTCTAGAACTGTCCTTGGACAAGTCTCCCTACTGTAGTAAGCTCTGGGGACTGGGCCTCGAAGAGTTACTCATTTTGGAAGAGTAACTGTGATCTGGGGGCTGGTCTGGAGGTGGTCTGGGCTCTTTGGCCGTCCTGGGAGCTGACCTCTCATATCCTGGTCTTGGTAGTGTCACCCCGCCCTGGATGGACAGCGTGGCAAGTGCTGGTGTGTGGATCGGAAGACGGGGGTGAAGCTTCCAGGGGGCTTGGAACCCAAGGGGGAGCTGGACTGCCACCAACTGGCTGACAGCTTCCAAGAGTGAGGCCTGCCAGCAGGTGGGGCCCTCAGTGCTCCCTACTAGGCCCCTGTGCTCTGGGGGCTGTAGAGTTGACTTGGCATGGAGTTTTGGTTTGAGTCCTGGCTCTCTGCCTCTGGCCCTGCCCAAAGTTTCCCTTGATGTATGTGTGTGGGAGTGTGTGTGTGTGTGTGTGTGTGTGTGTGTGTGTGTTTATGGGCACAAGTGTGGCCCATGGGGTAAGCCTGAGTACCCACTGTGGGCTTAGATAAGCAAGCCCAAGAGGTCTGAGTGTAGCAACAGGAAGCCCCAGTATGTTTTCAAATCAGTCTTGAATTCGTTCACTCATTCATTCAGCCATCTGAAAACATGTATTGACAACATACTACATGCCAGCTTTAGTTTTCAGCCCTGGGAGGCCTCATTCTCATTTCCTCTGATTGTGGCATGCAAGGTATTCCTGTAAGGTCACCAGAGGCTTGTAGCAGAGAAACCTCATTCTCGGAGTCAGAGAGAAAGAAAGTTGTGAACATGGACCATTCTCCCTCTCCTCCACCTAGTCAGTGTGGGTCCGTGTGGAGTAGAAGAGAGCTTAAGGCTCATGAGACCTACCCCGCTCTCAAGCTAAGCTTTGTCGGGGTCCCCTATTCTCATTCCTTAAATCCTTGGGGGAGGAAGAGATTGAGGGATGGGGCCCATCTTTGGGGTGGGTATGGGGTCACCTTGCAGATGGAGCTCTGCTGTGGGAGAGGAACGGTGTCAGAAGACCTGAAGAATGGGGGTAGGGAGTCAGGCAAGAAGAAAGGATGCAGGATTGGGTTGTGTGTGTCTGATGGAGAGGAGGACCTAATGAGGTCCTGTTCTGGCTCCTAATTGTGGTTGCTGGTCATGATGTCACCAGGATGACCCTATCTTTCCAGCTGCCCACTGCCTGTGACTCTGCCTCCCTCCCCATATTCCCCTCCCCTCACACCTCCTGTCCCACCCACTCTACCCTCCTGGGCATTTTCTGGCTTGCCTGGATAGATTTAGAGACCTGCTTGTTGGCTGTGATGTCTTTTCATTCATTTTTTTTTCTCTCTCTTTTTTTTAAAAAACAAAACAATAAAACCAAAAAGTGTCCAGATAACTGTGTGTGGTTGATTTATTTTATTATTATTTTTTAACAGACAGGGATGAATCAGGATTGGAGGGAGGTGGGTCCTGTGTGGTTCCCCAGATGTTTCCTGTTTCCTGCTGCAAACCAAAAGCCCTCTCTCTCCTCAAGGGTCTCCCAAGGCACTTACACTGGGGGTGGGATCATGCGGCTTTGGAGGAATGGCCAAGGAAGCCTGTCTGTCGGCCATAGTTGACTTCTAAATCAGGTACTCAGTGGAGCTGTGACATTTCCTAGGATTTGTACCGGATGGGTTTATTAATTTAGATGAGGATGGAGAAGACATGCAACACTTGAGGGACAGCATGGTGATAAATCACAACATTCCACAGCTCTGGTGTCCTTGTTCGGGACTAGGGGATGGGCATGCTCTCACATTAGATTCTGAAAGACTGGAAGAGTGGGAACCCGACTCTCAGCCCCAGCCTATGCTTCAGAACATGTTCCTACATGGATTCATAGCAATTTTCCCATAGGCTTGTTTCTGATGGATGTTTCTTCCCTGGAGGTCAGAAGAATCCTCTTGCCTTCTGGAGGATGGGGTCCTGTCTGTGTCCTTGTCCTCCAGTCCCCTCCCTGATCCAGAGACTCCTGGGCTTGCTTCTAACTTCATTGGCTCCCAACTTTTTTGTTTGTTTTGTTTTGAGACAGGGTTTCTCTGTGTTACAGCCCTAATTGTCCCGGAACTGGCTTTGGAGACCAGGCTGGCCTCGAACTCATAGAGATCTGCCTGCCCCTCCCTTGATTTTCTCTATTACCTAGACTTTCTACTGAGGCTGCAGTCTCCCTAGATCTCTAGCTCGGCCTCGGCAGGACAGCCTGCAGCTATCTGATTGCCCTGAGGCACCAGCATTGTCCTGTTGAGAACTGTTTCCTCTGTTCCTGGCCTTCTCCTTTTGGGGCCCAGACCAAGGCATGTTGGGGTACCCCGTCAGCCAAGTACAGGGAAGTGTTTCTCCAAGACATCTCATCCCTGCTTCCTTAGCCCCTCTTGCTGGGCTCTAGCCTTGCACCCTTGAGGGTGGGTTATAGGTTCTTCTCAGTAACCTCCAAGAAAGACAGAGCCTAGTTTAATGACATATACAGTGTCCGTGTGTGCACTGTGTGTGTGCTCATGCGTGTGTGAATGTGGCTTGGTGATTCCTTAACTGGAGTAGTATAGGCTTTTACAGGTACACATGTACATATTTGTGGATGAGTACAGATAAGACCTGTATAATTGGTGTCGGGGCTCTATGAATCTGTCAAATGGGAGACTCTCCTGAGTGATAGGAAAGATAATGTGACATCCACAGACTATGTTTCCATTGTAGGGCTTCAGGGGGTGTCTTGCAACAGATAGCAGAGGTTGTGTGCTTTGGAGGGGTTCCATGTTTCACACAAATACCCCTCCTTTCCTGGCTAGGTTGTCCCATGGTCTTGGGCGAGGTCCCAAGTGTCAAAGCAAATAAAAGTAACACTGTGTTTACCCACCATTCCCAAATTCTGAGATGCCATTCCTGACCTGGTCTCCACATGTCCTTGAATGGTCCCTCCAGTCCCAGAAGCAGCAAGAGAAGAGACCAAACTTTTATGTCCCTGTGGGGTCACTGCACCTTGAGGGTCCTGTCTGCTCTGCCCTCTCCACAAGAAATTTATTTCTGGACTAGCAAGGTGGCTCAGTGGGTAAAAGCACCTGCCAGCAAGCCTGAATTCAGACCTGAGTTCAGTTCCTGGGACTCACATGGTGGAAGGAGAGAATCAACTCCTGCAAACATCCCCAGGTGTGCAACGACATGTGCATGCCTACACATTCACATTACATCCTCATCCTGTGTCTGTCTTACACACACACACACACACACACACACACAGATATGCAAAAAAATATTATTTCCTTCTGGTTTGGCATGGGGATCCCTTAGCTCACCCATGCCCTGGCATTCAGTTTCTAGTTTCTAGTTTCCATTTCCCATCTCTTAGCGGAGATCAAACCCTGACCTGCTGAGGGTGGGTCAGCCCTCTGCCCTATCATCTAGAAGGGTCCTAAGCATTGGTCTCTGTCATTCCTTAGCTCCTTCCAGGAAAAGCCTAGCATCCCAGCCCTTTGTCCCTCTGCCACCAAGCTGCTCCAGGAATGTCATGAGGTATGCAAGGACTTGCGCACCTCCAGAATTCTCCTTCCTGGAGGGCACATGGCTGTTTGGCGAATGAGCCCCAAACATTCCTAGCTAAAGAAATCCCCACTGTGTTTCAGGCCTTTAAGATAGCCATAGCACCACCTCTGCTCTAGGAGAGGGCACAGATGGAGTGGGTTGAAGGAGTTGGGAGGCTTCATAGCAGCTGGGGCCTCACAGGAAGGAGGGAGGGAGGGAGCAGTTGAAAGCCTGGGAGGACAACAGGAGGACAGACAAAGGGACCACCAGCCTCTGGACACACTGTAGTGGGGGACAGATAGCACCTCAGTCAGCCAAGGGTCTAATTGGATCCTGCCCACTCTGTGTCTGAGGCCTCAGGGGTTGGGGAGGGTTGAGGTCAAAGGGTAGAAGTGGGGGGTATGCAGATAATTAGAAACATACTCCTCTGAGTGGCAGGCGCCATGAAGACCACCACTCCCCCTCAGGCCATCTCCCCACCCCATGTATACAATCCCAGTCAGGCTGACAGGAGCCTGTGAGTTGAAACTCCCGGGACAGGCTTCCCAGGCCCTTGCACAGCCTCTAAAGTGCAAACAACATATTTTCACCATGCAATGGTATTTAATTACACATAAAAACAGAGCCATTAAACTGAAATTAAACCCTTGTTGGAATCACTTAATTCAGGGCATGACAAATTGCTTTCAGCGGAGGCGGCTGTATAGTCCCCTGGGGTGGAGTTGGGGGGAAAGAATGGAGATTAGTGGCTTCCATGGCTGGCTCCATCCCCTCATTCTCTTGGTCCCTTTGCCAACTCTAAATTCTGAAACTGGGGCCAGAACCCTCTTCCTAAAGACCACCCAGGCCAAAGGGGGAAGGCTCTAGATGCACTAGGGATGACAGGGACAGGAGGTTGGGAAATCACTGTACCAGGATTCAACCCAGTTATAGACAGTCCGGACTATATGGATGAGGAAATTAAGGCCCGGATAGGACAGGAATCCAGAACCAGGATTAGGACCTTGGCACCCAATTATGACCATGGATGTTGTGTCCCCGTCCCCCTCCCCCTCCCCCCAGGGCTGATATCACTGGACCCTGGGCCTGGAGAGATGCTGAGGTGTATACTGGGAGTCAGAGATCAGAACTGGCCTTGGGTGACTTTCTGGGGGGCAGCTTGGAAGTCAGACTGTGGAATCAGGCAGACTAGGTTACTATGTAGGTGAGAGATGGGGGGGATGAGTCCTTTTGTTACAGGCCTAGCAGAAATGAAGAGATTCTAAAGAGACACTTGTGGTTCTCAATTGGAGTATTGATTGATACAATGGACCATGAAGAGATGGGAGATTCTCCAGGAATAGTATGCTGGGAGAGGGAAAAGGTGCCATTCAGAGGGGAAGCTTGTCTTTCAGGAAGAGATTTCACACAGTTCTAACTGCTTATCACACGGACCGCCTTACAGAATGAGACCAAAGCCCAGGCAGGGATGGCTGCCTGGTGGGCAGCCATACACCTGGGTCAGGACTGCTTACATGTGCCTCTCTTTGGCCCTCTACTTAAAGTGTAATCTCACTTAAATCCCCTGGAAGACAGACTTGGGGGGGGGGTTCTGTATTTCTTTGTCCTTCTTCCTGGCTCTTGTAAATGACTTACTAAGGATATGTAGCCACAGCACTGGTTGTGGCCCTGAAGTTTGGCAACCACAAAGGGACAGAGGCACATTTTTGGGGTACCTACCACCCAAAGTGGGCTGACCCTGGGTGGAGAAGAGAGATGGATGCTCCCATCTGGAGTCATTTTACTCCAGGGACATTCTCTCCTCTTGCCAGTTCAGCAGCTGCTTTCTCACCTGCTTCCTCCCACAAAACAAGCATTTTGCTAATGTGTGTATACGACACTTGTCCACAGTCTGCTCACAAGAACTCACAGGGTTCCCTGTGTCTGGAAGAGATTTCAGAGTTCAACTGTTGGTCATTGTACTAGCCAGTTTTATGTCAACCTGATATAAGTTAGAGACATCAGAGTAGAGGGAACCTGCCTCAATTAAGAAGATGCCTCCATAAGATCCGGCTTCAGGCAAGCCTGTAGGGCTTTTAAAAAAAAATAAATTGGGGGAGGGACCAGCCTATTATGGGTGTGGCATCCCTGGGCTGGTGGTACTCGGTCCTATAAGAAATCAGTCTGAGCTGTGGCAGTGGTGGCTCATGCCTTCAATCCCAGCACTCAGGAGGCAGAGGCAGACAGATCTGTGTGAGTTTGAGGCCAGCCTGGTCTACAGAGCTAGCTCTGATACAGCTAGGGCTGTTACACAGAGAAACCTTGTCTTGAAACTCAAAAAAAAAAAAAAAAAAATCGGTCTGAGCAAGCCAGTAAGCAACACTCTGCCATGGCCTCTATCAGCTCCTGCCTCCAAGTTCCTGCCCTGCTTAAGTTCCTGCCCTGACTTCCTAAGAACCCCAAGAAGGGGGTCTCAATTTCCTCCTAAGCATCCCAGCTCCAACCTCCCTACTGGGTTCCTCTGTGACCTGGGGACCTTTTTTACCTATTGTAATCAGATGTCACTTGTCACTGTGATTAGAGACCTGTCTGAAAAGTCAGCACTCCCAACCCAGGAAAGGCAGGGGTCACCTAAGGCAAGCAGGGACATGGAGATAAAAGGGGCTGCTATTCCCCTTTCTTTCCCTGGTAGCCTGGAATGGACAGGGTTAGCTGGCAGGCAGCTGTAATGGGAGATGGGTGTGGCTCCTTGTAGCACCTCTGAGACAGAGCTCAGTTGCAGGATGCTAACTGAGTAAGCAGGGACTGACCACTCTTGTCCCCTGGTTCCTGGTTCCCTGGTGTGGCTTCAAGGTCAGT